ACTGGGACACAATCAAAACATGATCGGGACACCATCACAACATGACCTCGCCACCATCACATGATCGGGACACCATCAAATCCGCCTATTAGTTTTGCAAGACCACATAGCATGACTATTGGGGAATTATATATACCCAGGCAGCAGAACAACGAAACCCAAATACAGGCCTCAAGAAACAAACCACAATTGGGATGGTGGAATCAAGACTTGTGCACATGAGTGCCTGTTCCACTACATACTCATCGAGTGATACATTTCCGTCCACCAAGGAGCGATGGAAGAGTATGAAGCCACAGCTGTACCCCACCATCCCCGTGTCACAACCAGGTGCCTTACCGCCTGGCGTCCAAGCTCTGCTGTTGCTTCATCAAGACGGCCGCCTGAAATCACCAGTATGACTTCAAAAGTCTTGGCGCCAGAAATGTTACAGGATTGAAGGCGATTCTGCACTAGCGCTTGTATGAACACAGTCGACCGACACATGTAGCAAAGAAGCGGTTCTTTTTTTAACTACAAGTGGTTGGAAAGTTCTCCTGCCGTCTGCCCCAGAGAGCTTTTTTGGAGCAGATTGTCCCGCGAGCGTCGCGGACCCACCTGGATCGGGATGCGTCCCGCCTGACAGGGTGGGGTAGGGAAACCTAAAATTCACCTACCCTCGAGCCTACAAGCAATAACATGCAAAATTCTGTCATGACATGGTCATGAGTGAATTCTGCACTAGTGCTTGTATGAACACAGTCGGCCGACACATGTAGCAAAGAAGCGGTTCTTTTTTTAAATACAAGTGGTTGGAAGGTTCTCCTGCCGTCTGCCCCAGAGAGCTTCTCTGGAGCAGATTGCCCCGCTTTCAGTCAGGCCTTCCAACGATCAAAGAATTTTCTAGTTTTCTTCTTGGTCTGATTCACGATGGCTTTTGTCGCTTTCTTCTTGTCCTTGTGCTCTTTGATCTCATTGAACAATGTCTCACTGCCTTTGAGGAGTTCATCCATCACATACCACTTCAACTTGTCTTCCTCCACTTGCTCTCTTCTCTGACTCTCAAAGGCGCTGAAATCCTCGTTGGTCAGGGCATCTGCCAACGTATTGCCATCTCTCCTCACCCATGTCAGCGCCGCAAAGGCATCCAGTCTCCTGAGTGTCTCGGCTACCTCAATGACCAAGATCGTGACTGGGTATTTTGTCGAAAGGCCCTTCCGAAGAATGAACGCATTGCCCTTGTTGTCAGTGAAGGCCTCGGCGCAAACCTCTGCTGACACGCCTGCCTCAACCAGCCAGAGCTTTAATGCGACCAGTGCAGCCAAGAGCTCCAACGCAGCAATTACCCTCTTTGGGTTCCTCTGCCTGTAGAACAGCCACGGTGCGCTCACCTCTGTCACTCTCAGGGAGAACAATCTGCATTCTTTGCTGCTTGAACTCTCCTCCAACCAGCCACCTGTCCAGGCTGCCTGTTCTGTTGCTTTGGCATCTGTCCAGCCCTGGACGGGTCTTTGAGGTTGCTTCACGACTTCCATGCGGCCTCCTGTCTCAAGCCTCCGCGCAATCCAGCCCAGGATGAACAAGACAGCCCATGGGATGGTCATCTCACCCCGGTTCGCCTGAATCGCTGACGACCAGGCATAAAGCGGCCCCAGAAGTGGCTTCTCCCGAACGGAGTGCCAAGGCCGAAAAGCCAAGCCTGCCAAGCCCTGCAGCAAACCCTCTGTAGGATACTTCTTTGCGATCCCTCAGCGAACGTAATGACCCACTCTGTCCTCTGCGCAGAAAGCCCCATTGCATATCTCGGTGATCAGGCCACCCCTCTGCTTGGACCGCTTGAACGGAGCCCCAACCGCCCTCATCCTCGGTGAGAACGGCCCGTGGCATGACGGCGTCCGCCCAGCGCCGCCCCCCTCCTGATTGAACCGATCAAGAATGCAGCATGCGATGCTGTCAAACACCCTGCAGTGCTCCGTGTGCATGCGATGCACTGAACCTCTCACATGCGATGTGAAATGCACTGCTGCTCGAGGTGCGACCCCGCCTTCTCCTCCACTGGATTTTCCCCTGCGCCTGCTGCGCACTGCCCTCCCGCCTGAGCGGCTCGCTCGGCTCGCGACAACAACGCTATCCTACCAGTGGCTCCGGCCAAGTGCTACTTGGACTATGCATGAGTGTGGCTGCACACTGCCCGCCCCCTGGGCGCGACCCAAAGGGAAGAATCCTCTGCAAGATTGACCCGATTCCGCGTCCCCGCAACCCTTCTCAGTCGCTGAGACTTAGTTCGTCTCGAGAATCACTTGTGGATTCGCTCAACTGTCCGTTTCCTCCGCCCCAACACAGCTTGCATCGAAGCGTATATTCCTCGGGCTGAGGCAAGTCCCTGTGGATCTCACAGACCTCACAAAGAATCTTTTTCTTGCCATCCAACAGCCCTTTTCTCCTAGTCTGTGCAACGTGCCTCTGCCAGCACGCCTGTACACCACCACATAGTTGCCATCCCTTTCTTCTTCCAATGGCTCATTCACTTTCCTCTTCTTCGGGTCTTTCAAATTCTTCACTTCGTCCTCTTTCTCACTTTGTGACCCCTCATAGATCGTGGTGTCATCATCTGAGATCTGGACTGTTGCTCTTGGCATCCCTTTCACACCCAGCTTGTCCTTCCATGCCTCTACGACCTGCTCCGCCAAATCATCCGGCACAGTCCACTTCTCATGGAGCCACACCTTGAGCTCCTCCAGCACAGCCCCTTCATCAAGCTCCTCATATGTGTTCTCCCCTCGCAGGACCTTCACCATCTTTCTCTGCATCTTTCTCACTATCGCATTATAGGTCCTCACATAGACGTCCGAGCCCTCAGGACACCATCTTTTGAGGAGGTCTCTGTCAGATTTCTCCACTCCCAGAGCTGCAAGCCCACTAGGTAAGGTTGCCCGTTCGCTATGCTCAGAACCTCCCCCATCCGTCCGGGATCAAGCGGCCGTTGTAACCCTCCAACATTGCCAAGGTCCTTGCACTCCCAGCTGAGGCCTCTGCATACGTGACGCGCGACGCCCCGTACCTCGTCCCATAGAAGCACCCCTCCGGGAACACGTAGACCCTATCCCTTGGCATTTGGAGCTTCACCAACTCGAAACCCACCGACAGCCAGTCCTCATGCAATGCATACGCTTCCTTGGTGATGTAGATCGGAAGCTCCCGCACTCTCTTTCCGGCTCCAGATGTCTTGGATTGGTGCATCATCCCAATCAGCTGTCCATCATAAAACCGGAGTTCTGAAGTCTTCAAATGGGCTGCGTCGTCAAACCTCATTGATGCCCAAAGTTTGATCAGCTTGAACCATGCACACACTCTGACCTCGAATGGTATGGCCTTGTCCGCGACCAAAGTTTCCATAGGCGCCACAAAGCATCCCAGGCACCGGGGCGCCCGACGGACTGGTGGTGCATTTTGCTCCAGTTTTCGCGTCAACTCTTTCATCGCCATCTGTGGAAATTGCTGGCTCATCAACTGGTCCTCATCGGGTGTCCCAGCTGTGCGTTCGAACCACGCCACCGCAGTGCTTACTGCAAGAGGGATTGAGGGCCCCATGCCTCTTCCTCTCGGGCGTACATGTAGTCCACCAAGGTGATGCTGCTCGGCCTCTGTCCGGGCTTCCCCAACACTTCGGCCCACTCTCTGAATTTCTGCCACGAAGCCAGGTAGCGCCTCACTGTGGATAGGCGATATTTTCCCAACAGCGCTTCTTTCGCTCTTGCTGGATTCATGGACTTCTTCACATCGTCCAATACTGGGGCACCATAAATCACCAGCTCATCAACGAGTTTCTGCAATATCTTGTCAGTCACCTCATCCTCGGCTGCAATGCGGCCGCTCTTCAGCCGCACCGTCCTTCCCAGCGCTTCCCAGCGTGCCCCGCTTTGGCACAACCGGCAAAACCAAGGTGGTTTCATTCGGCTCGAGGGTCACCACCTTCTCCTTATCCATGGCCACCTGTGCGTCCAACAGGTTCTGCATTGACCTTGTTGATGAAGTGCCAACAACACGCTCATCCAAATCGGCCATCTGAACCGCTTCACGCACCTGGCCAACAACAAAGGTCACATGCCATGGCTTCAACTCTAATCCTAACCTATCTACCAGCCGCCGTGCCAGCACCTGCTCGCTTCCATGGCTAATGGCGAGTCCCGGACCCACCAAACCTATCTCTGCGAGGAGGTTCAGGAGTTGGGCACTCTCCTCGGGGTCGGGAGCATAGATTGCTCCTTCCATCCCCCTTCCTCAAACCTAAAATTCACCTACCCTCGAGCCTACAAGCAATAACATGCAAAATTCTGTCATGACATGGTCATGAGTGATATACATGCGCTGTCAGTTTGCTTGTGCAATGAAGTACATCAAACCCATTAAACGGCTACCAGTCTGGCAATAAGTCTTGCATCCGGTTCCCTGTCCTTTGATTTCTCGAAATGGCCCATCACCCTCATCCGCACCGCGGAATTCACCAAACTTCCTCAGGGCCCATGGAAGTTCTTAGAAGTATGGCCCAGTATGGCAGTATGGATTAGGCCGCACCTTGAACTGCAAGAAACTCAGTGTGCTTTGCGCATATTCATGGAGAGGCATCCAAGTAGCTGGAACCAGGGAGGCCCAAAGCGAACGACCTCGGGAGCCACATGCAGAAACAATCCTTCTGAGCCAACTAAGGAACAAACAAACATAAGATAGACATGATAAGATAGACATCCGAAGCCCCGTGGTCTCAAGGTAGTCTCAAGAACGCTGTGAGTCTCAAGACAAAACGCCGAGCAGAAACATGGTCAAGGAATGTTGTCTTAACAACCCCCCCGATGTGCTTCCCGCATACTATATAAGTGTATGGCGATCTTCAGTCTTCCGGCTTCCTGGCACTCACCGAGCTTTTCCTTCAGCTTTGGTGGATCACCACCAGGCTGCCTAGAAACACATTGAGAAATTGATTCTGCTCTAGATGGATGTGTGGAACCGTGATGCTGAGTGATGCTGAGAACGTTCGAGATATCAACTGTTCTTAGTGCTGTGTAGTTGGCCACAGCAAAGTCCAAGCAGAAAAGACCTTAAAGACCTTGACAATGCTAGCTCAATTGTGTATTTTGTTGATGAACATACACATCTTTCTAGGACCATCAAAAAGCTTGGAGAGTCTTTTTGAATACCAAAGAACTTCAGCATCACTGGCTTGAAGTGCTTGAAGCTGCAGCAATCTGACGATTAGACCTATCACGGTATCTTCGGCTGAAATGCATGTTGCCAAGGTGCTCGAAAAAATGATTCCAAGCATTGGAGGAATATCCCAGCCTAGCTTCGAGAAAATCGTGCAACTTGCAGTCAGCGCTAGCATGATGTTGAATATTGAGATTTCGTTTCAATCCAACAAGCAAAAAGAAGTTCAAGGGCATGCCAAGGCACTGTCCACTCCCATGGAAAAGTATTCGTTCATCTGTCCAGTCGATCAGGAAACGCTCCTCTGTACACATGCTGCAGAAAGCTACCTTGGGGAAAACGTAAGGAAACGTCCTTCAACTGACATGGCCACGTCCCTGCCTCCGCTCTTCCCACGCTCGACTCCAAAAAGCCCAAGGCCCAGAAAAGTAAAGAGAAAAGTCCTCGACAGCTGAAATGAGTACTTAGAAACAATAAGCTACTAGGAACAAGTGCATCGCTTCTAGTAACAAGTGCCTTACTAGTAGTAACAAGAAGCTATTAGAAACCAACTGTGACTTACAGGTCTGGACAAAAACTTTGGAGATCGACTTGACTGACTTGGAGGAGATTCGTTACTGTAAGATGTTTTCAAGTGGGGGTAGGCCGGGAGGTAGCTAGTAGAAGCTAGGGAGTTTCTAGTAGCGACATGTTCGATCGTGCTCGAATGCATGATCTTGCCAAAAAGATGC